GTCATCTTAATGGAAAGCCCGAAGTAATGCAGGTCTCAGACGTTTACCACTTCCGTGAAACCCACGAGCATGGTTATGGCGCGTGACTCGGGGCGAACAGGGATTCGAACTCACAATCTGTCGTGCCCAAGGGAGGCAACTCTGCACATCGAATCGCGGCGCCTTAGACGACTGGGACGCCCGTGCCCCCATAAACGTAATGAATCATCAAAGTGTCTCTACTTCAGGTCAGAAACGGGAACTGGACCGAGATCAAACAATGACCGAGAACCGTCACGTGTCCGAGGACGTAAAGTTGTTCAACTTCCCTTCTGTGGTTATTAGTGAAGATGGAGACTGGACGTAATGACGTCCCCTGTACCCGCGTGACCCTTGTTACCGACACATTCGCTTACTTTCCCACTTCTGGGAGTCAACGTACATGTTGAGAAGTGGGATGACTTCAGGATGACATTGATGGAAGTGGGATGAGTGATCCGTCTCGGCTGCAGTACCTGCTGTTCTCTTAACCCGTGTTCTGCTGCATCCGTGTTGGAAGCTTTGGGGTTCACCATTGATGTGGTTTGGTTTGCTTTGTTGTTTAACGCCGCACTCAGCAATATTCCAGCTATATGACGGCGGTCTGTAAATAATCGAGTCTGGACCAGACAATCCAGTGATTAATATCATGAGCATCAATTCATGCAATTGGGATTGATGACATGCATCAATCAAGTCAGCGAGCCTGACCACCCGATCCCGTTAGTCTTCTTTTACGACAAGCATAGTCACCTTTTACGGCAAGCATGGGTTGCTGAAGACCTTTTCTACCCCGGAATCTTCACGGGTCGGTTCACCATGGAATCTGTACATAGACATACAACGATAGAAACCATATGGAGTGTTATAAAGACAACATACCTCTTTTCGAAGTTTGTTTGTTGGTTTGTTGTTTAACACCGCATTCAGCAATATTCCAGGTATATGACGGCGGTCTTAAATAAAAGAGTCTGGACCAGACAATCCAGTGATTGACTTCATGACCATCGATCCAAGCAATGGGGGTCGATGACATGCATCAACCAAATCAGCGAGCTATACCACCCTATCCTGTTAGTCTCCTCTTACGACAAACATAGTTGCCTTAGTTGCCATAATTACGGCAAGCATGGGTTGCTGAAGACCTATTCTGCCCCGAATCTTCATCGGTCTCTTTCCGAAGGAGCATATGTTACGTTCAAATATGAATATTGGTAGACGTTCACAGAGGTAGGATTGCCTTTATTGACTTGTGATGTGAAGTACAGATGTGGTGTTCAGATCGATGAATATCTTTATCAGGGTCGAGGAAAAACCAGGGGAACAGATTTCCGAATTAAGCGAATCCATGGATTTTTACGTACATTTAAAGTTTGATGCCTAGTATGGTCGTGTTCATTTCTTTTATGTGAACTTATTACGACGTGTAACATTAAACAACATATTTTTACACCATTTTTGTTGTGATGTATGTGATGTAGTTCTACATTTTAAACACATACATGGGGCTGATTAGTTTTTTTATGTAATGATTTTTTAAATCTTTACTTTAATGTTATTATTTTCAAAACACATTCTTGCTTCAAAACATGACATATTATATACTTTATTACTTTTCACCTCAATAATTACAACCTCAACATATATGAACAACTTTGGACCTTTGAAAACCTTTCAAAACGTATAACAGTTCACATATAGAGGACATTTTTTAAATTTGATGCATCACTTACAAACATTATGTGCCATGCAATTCAACATTTTGACATGTACCATTTGCACTCTTTGAAGGACCCGCTCTTGCACCCAGTGGAGGATCCCTCTCTTGCACCCTTTGGAGGATCCCTCTCTTGCACCCAGTGGAGGATCCCTCTCTTGCACCCTGTGAGTGACACCTCTCTTGCACCCTTTGAAGGACCCGTCTCTTGCTCCCTGTTGAGGATCCCACTCTTGCATCCTGTGGGTCACACCCTTCTTGCAGCCAGTGGAGGATCCCTCTCTTGCATCCAGGGAAAGATCCCTCTCTTGCACCCTGTGGAGGTTCCCCCACTTGCACCCAGTTGAGCATCACTCTCTTGCACCCAGTGAAAGATCCCTCTCTTGCACCCAGTGAAAGATCCCTCTCTTGCACCCTGTGGAGGTTCCCCCTCTTGTACCCTGTGGAAGATCCCTCTCTTGCACCCTGTGGACGATCCCTCTCTTGCACCCTGTGAGTGACATCTCTCTTGCACCCAGTGGAGGATCCCTCTCTTGCACCCAGTGGAGGATCCCTCTCTTGCACCCTGTGAGTGACACCTCTCTTGCACCCTTTGAAGGACCCGTCTCTTGCTCCCTGTTGAGGATCCCACTCTTGCATCCTGTGGGACACACCCTTCTTGCAGCCAGTGGAGGATCCCTCTCTTGCATCCAGGGAAAGATCCCTCTCTTGCACCCTGTGGAGGTTCCCCCTCTTGCACCCAGTTGAGGATCCCTCTCTTGCTCACTGTGGAGGATCTCTCTCTTGCACCCTGTGAGTGACACCTCTCTTGCATCCAGGGAAAGATCCCTCTCTTGCACCCTGTGGAGGTTCCCCCACTTGCACCCAGTTGAGCATCCCTCTCTTGCATCCAGGGAAAGATCCCTCTCTTGCACCCTGTGGAGGTTCCCCCTCTTGTACCCTGTGGAGGATCCCTCTCTTGCTCACTGTGGAAGATCTCTCTCTTGCACCCTGTGAGTGACACCTCTCTTGCACCCTGTGGAGGATCCCTCTCTGGCACCCTGTGAGTGACACCTCTCTTGCACCCAGTGGAGGATCCCTCTCTTGCACCCTGTGGACGATCCCTCTCTTGCACCCTGTGAGTGACATCTCTCTTGCACCCAGTGGAGGATCCCTCTCTTGCACCCTGTGGAGGATCCCTCTCTTGCTCACTGTGAGTGACACCTCTCTTGCACCCTGTGAGTGACACCTCTCTTGCACCCTTTGATGGACCCCTCTTTTGACCCTTTTGAGGACCCCTCTTTTGCAACCGCGTGGAGTACCCCTCTCTTGCACCCTTTGGAGGATCCCTCTCTTGCACCCTGTGGAGGATTTATCTCTTGCATCCAGTGGAGGACCCCTCTCTTGCACCCAGTGGAGGTCCCATCTCTTGCACCCTGTGGAGGATTTCACTCTTCCACCCTGTGAGTGACACCTCTCTTGCACCCTTTGATGGACCCCTTTTTTGCACCCTTTGGAGGACCCCTCTTTTGCAACCCCGTGGAGTACCCCTCTCTTGCACCCTGTGATGGATCCCTCTCTTGCACCCTGTGGAGGTTCCCCCTCTTGCACCCAGTTGAGGATCCCTCTCTTGCTCACTGTGGAGGATCTCTCTCTTGCACCCTGTGAGTGACACCTCTCTTGCATCCAGGGAAAGATCCCTCTCTTGCACCCTGTGGAGGTTCCCCCACTTGCACCCAGTTGAGCATCACTCTCTTGCACCCAGTGAAAGATCCCTCTCTTGCACCCAGTGGAGGATCCCTCTCTTGCATCCAGGGAAAGATCCCTCTCTTGCACCCTGTGGAGGTTCCCCCTCTTGTACCCTGTGGAGGATCCCTCTCTTGCTCACTGTGGAAGATCTCTCTCTTGCACCCTGTGAGTGACACCTCTCTTGCACCCTGTGGAGGATCCCTCTCTGGCACCCTGTGAGTGACACCTCTCTTGCACCCAGTGGAGGATCCCTCTCTTGCACCCTGTGGACGATCCCTCTCTTGCACCCTGTGAGTGACATCTCTCTTGCACCCAGTGGAGGATCCCTCTCTTGCACCCTGTGGAGGATCCCTCTCTTGCTCACTGTGAGTGACACCTCTCTTGCACCCTGTGAGTGACACCTCTCTTGCACCCTTTGATGGACCCCTCTTTTGACCCTTTTGAGGACCCCTCTTTTGCAACCGCGTGGAGTACCCCTCTCTTGCACCCTTTGGAGGATCCCTCTCTTGCACCCTGTGGAGGATTTATCTCTTGCATCCAGTGGAGGACCCCTCTCTTGCACCCAGTGGAGGTCCCATCTCTTGCACCCTGTGGAGGATTTCACTCTTCCACCCTGTGAGTGACACCTCTCTTGCACCCTTTGATGGACCCCTTTTTTGCACCCTTTGGAGGACCCCTCTTTTGCAACCCCGTGGAGTACCCCTCTCTTGCACCCTGTGATGGATCCCTCTCTTGCACGCTGTGGAAGATTCCTCTCTTGCACCCAGTGGAGGACCCCTCTCCCCCCCCCCCCCGGCATCCTTTGAGGGAACCCTCTCATAGTGACGCCTGCAATTTTTAGATAAACTATATACATATTTACTGCTATTTAAGCAATATCCCAAGTTTGTTAATTGGATTAAACGGTTGACACAACTTTGAAACCATTTTATTAAATATTGTTTATTGTAACGTCATGCATGACACTGCCAAATTCGACTTACCCATAGTGATGACACATAGCAATCGTTTCATGATCATGCTAAATATTTCTTCTCATTAAAAAGGGACATGGCATGAAGGGGGTCATCGTGGTCCTCACGACCTGCCTTATTTCAGAAACAAACATAACTAAAAGAAATCGTGTTTAGATGTGTTCATATAAACGGGAATAAGATTGCATTTCAACTCCATACGCTACAATTAGGGTTAATGAGTCGAACATACGATAGTGGATAATATACATATTAAAGTGGGTGGGTGAGCGAGTTTGTATTGTTTTACTGCGCTTTTAGCAATATTCAAGCAATATCACGGCGGGGGACACCGGAAAATGGGCTTCTCACACTATACCCATGTGGGGAATCGAACCCAGGTCTTCGGCGTGACGAGCCAGCGCTTTAACCACTAGGCTACTCTCATGATTATGGTTGAGTCGTATGGTGGACTCCTCTGCCAGGTGGACCTCCACACCAACGGAACATATGTCAGTTTGCAGTAAATATATGAATGTGCATCAAACATCTGGACGGACTGTCTGTAATAGTCAATAAGTATATTCTCTGTTGATATATTTTAATAACTACCGGAAGTAAATATAACAATAAACACAAATCTGGTGTTTTCTTTTCTACTGAAGAAAGTGATCACAGACCTAATCTGCTTCTTAACCCCATCAAGCGGTCAAGCCTGTCAGCGTTAAGCTAGTTCGATGTCTTTGTTGAAATCCACCTTCAAGTCACACGATTCTGTACGTGTACAGGCCATGAAAGCTAGAACTATCGCCAGAGGTACCATACACACTTAACTTTTCTCCCTTTGACGGCGTTTTGAAGGTAAAGTTGAACTCTTTACCTTCCTTCTCTTTCACTTGTTTGTTGACCATTAACTTAGTTAAACTATCTGAGCTTAGTTTAAGTCGGACATCCTGATTGGCTGGAAGATCCCCAGAGAGAGGCTCATGCAGATGACAGCCATATTTCTGAGCAGCAGTGTAAGCACCGGGGAAAGGGAGAACATTGCTTACAGCTTTTTTGCTTTCAATCAAAAAGTCAGCAACATGGTCAAACGAAGATGACTCTGAGTTCTCGGGATGTTTTCCAAATAGTGTTAACTTATACAAGCCAACATTGGGTATTCTTGCTTTAAGAACAAGTGTATTGCCCTCATAAAAGCCAAATACATATCGATCCAGGTCAGTCTGAGTAGAGTCTGCTTGTTCAAGACGCAGGGAGATGGGGACAAGCTTCGACGTCTTGATCCTAAGTTCTACTTCGCCAGTCGATGTAGTCAGAACATCTTTTCCCAATATGTCGCTGGTGAAGCCATATTGAATAGCGTTTTGACTTGCACCCCAGGATCCCTGCTTCTTAGGGTATGGACGCAGATCTTTGGCAACAGACTTACACTGTAAAACAAAGGTGATGAGTGAGTGGTGTGTGGTACCTGATGACGATTCCGGCTTGCCAAAGATCGCCAGGTTGTATTTGCCTTCGGCAGGTGGAGAAACTCTTACTGTATACTTGTCTCCTTGTTTCCTTAAGAGGACATACTGGCTGTATTCCCGCTGTGTGTTCTTCTCCTTCAAGTGACACAATATTCCACTGAGATTTACATTTCGGGTCTTGAAGCTGATTTCACATTCCTTGTCTACTGTGATCACTTGAGTCTTGTGGCTCGTACATTCGAACCCCCATCTGATACCAATGGTCATTGGAGAAAGAGCATTGTTGAAGTCCTCGAGAGATAACGGTTTTTGCAACAGCTGCAGAGGGATACTGGCTTCTAAATTCTTGTCAGCATATGGAAAATGTTCGATGACAAAATCCTCAGGATCAGTGAGGAAATATAATTCTTCGAACTCTTTCTCGTACTTATGTTCGTTGTTCTGGTACCCGGCTCCCCACGTACACTCAACATGTCGCCACTCACCCTGAACATAAACCACGTTCCACGCATGGTCCGTTTCCGTGTTTAGTGTGAAGGGATTTTCTGGGTTGTAGTCGAACCCTTTGGAGAAACCAGAGACCTTTTTGCAAGGTATCTTGCATTTGCTGTAACAATAAAGGTAAACATAAAACCGATATTCATGTGATAATGAGACAAAGGAATGCATTGCATGTGTATGCTTTGTTTGTTTGTTTAACGCCGCACTCAGCAATTTTCTAGCTATATGACAGAGGTCTGTAAATAATTGAGTCTGGACCAGACAATCCAGTGGTTACTATCATGAGCATCGATCCATGCAATTGAGATCGATGACATGCATCAACCAAGTAAGCGAGCCTGACCACCCGATCCCGTTAGTCGTCTCTTACGTCGAGTATAGTTGCCTCATACGGCAAGCATGGGTTGCTGAAGACCTATACTCTACCCGGATCTTCACGGGTCGGTGTCAACAAGTGTTGCTTTACTCAAAATATGTTACTTTGTCATACTGGAATGGAGAGCATTTGAAATTTCACATCTAGATAAGGGTCGCTACAGTTAACTTATATTATAATTGAAAACGCAGTATGTTTATGTCCTGAGGATGACCTACTCGCAGAGAGATTGAAAGAGCCTGGCATATCCCTCGCAGACACTAAATCCACGCTTCAGCACTGCATCGGGGTCCTGAGAGCCAATGTTGCCACTAAATAACCCGGATATGTCGTAACTGTGAAATAAATAAGCAAATGAGATGAGAAAGGACGAAGTGCACATGCCATTTTGCCCACATTCCTAAGACACATAGAAAACGATTAGAAATTGTTATGGAAGTTTGCTTGTTTGTTGTTTAAAGATGCACTCAGCAATATTCCAGCTTTATGACGGCAGTCAGTAAATAATCGAGTCCGGACCAGACAATCCAATGACTGACATCATGCGAATCGATCCATGGCCACGCAGTTGGGATACGATGACATGCATCAGGCAAGTCAGCGAGCAGCGAGTCTGACCACCCGATCCTGTTAGTCGCCTCTTACGACAAACACAGCGGCCTTTTATGGCAAGCATGGGTTGCTGAAGCCCAATCTACCCCGGATCTCAACGGATTGTAATGAAAGTAATAAGATGCATTTGAAGAACATACAGCACCTTTTGGATTCCTGGTTAGAATTGATCCTGTGCTTGTTGTACCATACGACATAATGGATCGCCCCAAGGAAGATGCTTATCGCAAGAGGCCACTGACAGAATCGGATGGGGCTCGCTGACTTGGTTGATGCATGACATCGTGTACCAATGGCATAGATCAATGCTTGTGATGTCAATTACTGATATATCTTGTCTAGACTCGGTTAGTTACAGACAACCGTCATAAAGCTGTAATATTGCTGAGTTCGGAGTTTTACAACAAACAAACAAACAAACAAACAACCACTACACACAACAAACCTGTACCGAACACACCTGATATTGTCACCAAGCCATCTGTAGAAGGCCCGGATTTTCTCCATGTCATTCCGGGCTGGCTTCACCAGGTACTGTGCTAGGGAGGTCACGGATGAGCGAGCACTGGCCGGAGCCTAGACAAAGTGCAAAAACAAGAACAGACAGTTACCCCGCACAGTACCGTTACCGTCAACAGATAAACCCGTTTTCCAGATTTATACATGCATGAAGACGTTCATTTCAGTAATCCCCTCAAAGCGGGCTTCATGGACAAACGGTCCGTTCTAACGGTTTCACTGTAATTATCATTATTCAATGATCAGGAACTTGATTCTACGGCCAGGGACGTGTCCGTTGTTTAAACTGGATATCACAGCCCAAGGGTACCAATTGTTGTGACTCAGTGGTTAAAGGTTCCGGATATCGACAGGACAAACTTACTTGCCAGTATCTGCTGGTTCTGTGTTCGAATCCAAGAATCGTAATAATCACGATCCGTTATCTGTCACTTTAAGCTCACTCTGACAATAAAGATAGAGTTGAAATATTGTTAAAAGTCGTGTTAAACCCTGCAGGCCGACCCTGTAACCTGTTTGTCCTCTGAAAGTACGTCATACGTATTTGTCGCTGCTGCCAGAATGTATATAAGTTTCTAGACAGAACTGATAGGCGAGTGAGTGAGTTAGTTGGATTTAACGCCGCTTTTAACAGAATTCTAATTATATCGCGGCCTGTCAGCTTAATGTGGGAGGAAAGCCAGAAGTGATGCAGGTTTCCGACGTTTACCACTTAGGTGAAACACACGAGCACGGGTATGGTGCTGACAAACCTAGAAACATAATTGGGGCGAACCGGGATTCAAACCCACAATCCTAGGTTTCTGCTCAAAGGACGCAACTGTGCGCAGCGAATCGCGGCACAATATGGAGAGGGGTAGGTCAGCCATAGTGATGCCACCCATCACCACACACGATCCACCGCCAACTCTGTCATCGTTGAAATTGGCTTGACGTTAATTTCGGCGTTGCCAGACACGAACACGCCTATCAAGGAAGTGCAAAGGGAATCGGGACTCATTTGAAAACGCGACCAGGTAAAATTACTCCGTTTCGATTTCGTGTACACCATTGACGTTTTGGGGGAATATGGCGATTTGTGAGGCGCACAATACGTCGTCACTTAGCATGGAGATGAGCTGCACGTAAACGATTTCTAATCGTCTGATCCACAACTCGTACTCAAGTAGCCCGATGAAAGATTGTAGCAATTTGATCCGTCGTTTGAGCTGGATTTTATAGAGCCTGGTTCCCGATCACTCGAACCTGTACTGTTTTTGACCTAGGACGCCCTGAACGGGGTCGATCGTCAACATTTGAGTGTGTTGGTACCTGTTCCATAGTCTGCTAATTACAGACTGTGAAACATTTAACATATTGGTCACTGCACGCTGACTTCTGACAGTTTCCAGCATGCCACAGCCCATAGATGCGCTGCACGTTGCAGCCGCCGCATTGCTTGGTCATACACAAACAATGAGTGAGTGAGTTGGGTTTAACGCCGCTTTTAACAGCATTCCAGTCATATCACGGCGTGTCAGCTTAATGTGTGAGGAAAGCCCGAAGTAAAACCCACGAGCACGGGTATGGTGCTGACAAACCTAGAAACATAATAGGGGCGAACCCACAATCATAGGTTTCTGGCGTACCCAAAGGGACGCAACTGTGCACAGCGAATCGCGGCCCCTTAGACCAAGGTGGCCATCCGTGCCCCCTTACACAAACAATGAATTGAGTCAAGTAAATCATAACTGTATGATAAGCAGAATCAATACGATTGACATAAATAATGGTCCACAGAGATTAATCGATCTTCCTTGAAATTGTCAAAATCAGGAATGACACCCAACGCATGTGTGTGGTGCTACTGCGTGAGGCACGTGCAAACTATGTGATGTGTTTTGGGGTTACGTTTTGCAGACATGAACATTCTTGCAAAGTCAACATTAATTTTTGTTCTAAAACATGGTATAAACATTTATTTTTCATGCCCCCTACATTTCTAAGGGTATATATTTGATTCTCATTCCACAGAGAAACGGTACACTGACCGGTATCTTTCACGAATACAGTCACTTAAACGCATCCTCCGCATGTTCTCACCTTCAACGCATGCGCATCAATAGCAGCAAACGCTTCCGGAAAAGGCACCGCATCACTCTTCTTCTTTTTAGGGGGCTTCAGTGGAGGGTTGGGGTCGTTGCGTGTTGGATCTGCTCTGGCGGGGGTTGGTTCTGCTCGGCCGGGGGTTGGATCTGTTCGGGCGGGGGTTAGATCTGATCGGGCGGGGGTTGGATCTGCTTGGGCGGGGGTTGGTTTTGTTCGGGCTGGGGTTGGATCTGCTTGGGCGGGGGTTGGATCTGCTCGGGCAGGGGTTGGATCTGTTTGGGCGGGGGTTGGATCTGCTTTTGCGGGGTTTGAATCTGCTTGGGCGGGGGTTGGTTTTGCTCGGGCGGAGTTTGGATCTGCTCGGGCGGGGGTCGGACCTGCTTGGGCGGGGTTTGGATCTGCTCGGGCGGGGGTTGGATCTGCTTGGGCGGGGTTTGAATCTGCTTGGGCGGGGGTTGGTTTTGCTCGGGCGGAGTTTGGATCTGGTCGGGCGTGGGTTGGATCTGCTTGGGCGGGGTTTGGATCTGCTCGGGCGGGGGTTGGATCTGCTTGGGCGGGGGTTGGATCTGCTCGGACGGGGGTTGGATCTGCTTTGGCGGGGGTTGGATCTGCCTGGGCGGGGGTTGGATCTGCTCGGGCGGGGGATGGTTCATGCACGCCGACTTGTTTCGATTTCATGCATCCCATAATGAAACCTGAAACAAAGAATTTATGGCTGTAGTCAAACATAGTCGAGAGATAATTTGTGAAATGTGTGAAAGTTGATTCACACCATCGGGCTATGGTAACAAATGTGTGCAACCGAGCGGTTGCCAAACAACGCCCATCCACACCCTACAGTCAGTACAGCCAACTGCATCACCATCCACACCCTACGCTCTGTATAGCCAGCTGAATCACAGTCCACACCCTAGAGTCAGTATAGCCAGCTGAATCTCCATCCACACCCTACAGTCAGTACAGCCAGCTGAATCATCATCCACACCCTGCAGTCAGAGCAGCCAGCTGAATCACCATCCACACCCTGCAGTCAGAGCAGCCATCTGAATCACCATCCACACCCTGCAGTCAGAGCAGCCATCTGAATCACCATCCATACCCTACAGTCAGTACAGACATCTGAATCACCATCCACACCCTACAGTCGGTACAGCCAGCTGAATCACCATCCACACCCTACAGTCAGTACAGCCAGCTGAATCACCATCCACATCCTACAGTCAGTACAGCCAGCCGAATCACAAACCACACCCTAAATGGCAAGATGGCACTTGCTGTTACCCTGCCTGGCTCGGAGTCATCGCAAGGTCTGAGTTGGGTATTCATGTTAAACTACGACATGGTATCACAGTGGGTTAGCAACAAGACCCGACATAAGTCCGGACTATTACAAGCAGCCACACACACATCACAAATGACTTCCGAATTTCAAGCTAAAGCTCCTAATAACCTCCATCCCCCATATAATAATGCATACTCCATCTGAATTGGATTAATATTGAGATCTTCGTGTGGGGTCAGTAAATATACCCCCCCCCCCCCCCCCCGCTGACTTATGTTTTTACTTTTTAATAATTTCATTAAAAGGGGCCATTACACCAAACGGCGAACGCTCTGCGCTCCTTCTGCGTCCTAAAATTTGACTAGAGCGCAGTGGGGTCGCCAAACTCAAGAAAACTTCTCACTGCGTTCCCTGAACGACCTAGGCGTTCACTGTGCGATATCTCTGCGCTCCCTCTGCGTCTCCTCTGCATTCCCTCTGCCTCCGTTCTGCCTCCCTTGAGCGACTTACATCGACGGCGATCTCACTGCGACTGTTCTAAGCAGGTTCACAACTTTTCAGCGACAGTGGCGCTCTTGGCGATGGCTGAGCGTTCCCTCTGCCTCCCTTGTGCGCTCTACGCGACCGTTCTGCGACCCCTCTGCCTTCAACGCCGACCTGGCAAAATTTAAGAACGCAGAACGGTCGCAGAAAGGTCGCCGTCCGGTATAATGGGGGTTTAAGGAAATACAATAATATGATTTACAAAATATAATGTCAAATTTTAAACTCAAACATAAAAAACACAATGCCGGAATCCATTGTCGGGAGGTTCACTGAATTAACATTTAAAGTGATGATTTTCACTTTTTCATAATTTTAAAATTGTGCACATACAAGTTCATAACATGATACTTGGAAAGATACATACCTCAAACACATCCACCCATATGCCTTATGTGTTGCAGTGAATGCAGGATATGGCTCGAAGTTTGTGTATGATAAGCGGCAGTACTATGAGTGTATATCTATCACTTATGTGCAGTGATTGGCCTGTTGCACGGTCCGAGTTGCCACAACACTACTCTTCAAATACACCCCGAGATAAACGTCATGTCAGTGACTACTGATCTGTAGAACCCGGAAGCACAAAACATTGAATAGATCAATGAGTTATGGAAGATTGAACAATACATGTCAATTCTAATTTCTGACATCGACCCGTACAAGAAGGCCTGAATAGTGCGCGTCTCATCTTTGAACTGATCTGTATTGATGATATCCTGATTCATTGACAAATACTGAATATATTTCAACCTGACCGGCCTGTTGGTGTTATCATAATAATCTCCTTTAGGGTCTTGGTTTCTGGGAAACCTGAGTAGGGGCAGTAGGTGGGATTGGGGGTTGGGGGTGGGGGTGGGGGTTGTTGAGTTAAGCAAAGCAAAATGTTTGATCGGTGATCCATTAATTGTGTAAGGTCAAAGGAACACGTTACTGTTTAGCAACGACCCAGGGTTTGGTAATCAGCTAGCTAGTCAACAAATGACCAACCATAGCTGTTAGAACATTTTTATATGACAGACCGCCTCCGCGGTCTAGTGGTAGAGCATTTGCCCTGACTGCGGAAGTTCCTGGGATCGATCCCCGGCTGCTTAATACCAAAAGACGTTAAAAGATGTGACTCGTTGTTATCCTGTCTGGCGCTCGGAATTAAGGGGCTTAAACAAGGACTGGCCGGCTCGGAGTCAGTATACTGTGTCTGAGTGAGGTATTTATGTTAACCTGCTGAATGTTATCTCAGTCATCGAGCATTATAAATCGGCATCAGTCGGGACTAGTACAAGCAGCCACACAAACACACACATGCACGTCGCTATATAAGTGCAATAATCTTGGACGCGACGTTAAACCCAGTTTCACATCACCAACTTATATGACAGTGGGATTCTGGGAAGATATATACAGTCACCAATCGCAAAAGGCCAAGTGCATTTATTAATTGTTTTATTGACTATAATTGATATTAAACTGCGGAAACTAGATGTAAATCACAGTAAGTGAGGTGAGGTGAAATGGGGTTTAACGTCGCGTCCAAGATTATTGCACTTATATAGCGACGTGCATGTACGTGTGTGTGTTTGTCTGGCTGCTTGTACTAGTCCGAACTGATGCCGATTTATAGTGCTAGCTCACTGAGATACCATGCCGCAGTTTAACATGAATACCCCACTCAGACACAGTATACTGACTCCGAGCCGACCAGTCCTTGTTTGAGCCCCTTAATGCCGAGCGTCAGATAGGGTAACAACAAGTACCATCTTTTAACGTATTTTGGTATGACGCGGCCGGGGATCGAACCCCGGACCTTCCGCTCTCCGGGCGGACGCTCTACCATTAGACCACGGAGGCGGTCTCCACAGTAAGTGAAGAAAACAGCAGGCCATGTCTAAAGTGATACCATAACACACTGAGGTGTACGTATATAAATAGATATGTTTGTGCATTTCTTACATTATTTTAAATTGTGAAAGTAAAATACATTAGTACAAACGTAAATAATTTACCTACTCATATTTCCAAGTTAGCCAACATTTTCTTCAGTGTATATTAAAATCAACAATTAATATTTGCTGTTTTGCCATTGTTTGTTGATTTTGTTGATTAATAATTAATCTGAGTCGTATCTTGAAAGTCTACAGCTAAAACGCAGAGGAAAACATTTTGAGCACCATGTATCGAAGATTGCTTTCCTGCATACGACATTTAACATGCGGCCCTTGGCAACCATCTACATAACAACGTCCCAACCAGGAAGTGCTGATAAATAAACACTAATCTAATCAGAAGGACAATCCTGGCGCTCTCTTAAATATATTACTAAGTAGTTTATTTATTGTGTGGGCTAGCCTGTCTGTAATCTATAACTACAGTATAATGCCTGCTGTGGAAATGTGTGATTCGCATGCACATTTCGCAGAGAGATTGATTCATGGAGATTGTGACCAACAAATTATAATCTGTGTTAAAGTGTAGGATTAATGCCGGCGTCCCTTCTGAGCAAGATTCAAGCTGGCAATTGTTTGCAGATTCGCCGCTGCGTTAATCACCTCACTTCACCTCACCTCACCTTGTATAATTTGTCACCGGAATGTTTGGTGTTGCTTTTACAGCAGCTCTCTTCAACACGCGTCATAAGACATGCCCTAGGAATTATGTAGCAGAAAGTAGGTCTCTTATATCTTTACATAATGATCAGTGGGGGGTCTCAACATGTCGTCATTTTTAGGAAACAAAGTTATTAAGTGTCGTGTAGCAGATTTAGATGACGCTTGTTTGCTTTGACTGCAAAAAATAATGTTTTTATCTTATCTTGTGACACTTGAATTTATACTTCTGCCGTCGTGTGTTCATCCTGTGAACTCAAAATTACAATATGCATTCTAGAGGGGCACCTACGTGCAAACAGGACCCTCTGGGGGTCCTGGGTCCCTAGCAACCAATGCTGGTCGTAAGATGGATCGTGTAGTCAGGCTCAGTGATTTGGATGACGGTCTGTAAATAATGGTGTCTGAACCAGACCATGAAGTGATTGAGAAGTGAGGATCGATCCACACAATTGGGATTCAGTGTCATCAAATCCACAGATCCTGACCCACGGATCCATTCAGTCGTTTCTTACGACAAGCATCTGTTGCTGGGACGCCGAATTGAAGACGAGTTTGGTGAAGGGAAAAGCCATACATGAAATCCTTGTCACAATCTGGATGAATACGGGGTTCGAACCCACTACCATTGCATTCCGCAACGACGAAGACACCTTGAATGACGTTGTCGTGTTAGCACAAGCCCAACGTCTGTTGTTGTTGTTACATTAAGTGTTTAAGAGGTGGCCTTCTGCCTCAGCAATTTCGGCTGACCGGTCCCTCTTTGGGACTCATATGTGTGAGTAGGGTACACATATCTATTGTGAGTTTGGTATTCACAGAATTTCTGTTTTTGTATTGATATGATTTCTATTTTCGTATATTGATATAATTTCATTTTTATCTTTGGCTGCTCTCTTTATATACGTTCGAGTAGCTTTCCATCTCTCAGAAATAGAATTAGTTTGTCCTTCGCTGTTGCATCTCTTGGCTTCAGGAGATATATGACAGATAG